GGGGGGGGGGGGGGGGGGGGGGGGGGGGGGGGGGGGGGGGGGTGCAGAACACATCAGAGGGGCTGGCTTCCGAGAATATGTCAATTAAATGAGAGATTTCTTCTCATTCCTTGTTACAAGGTTCTTAAACTAGAGTCCATGGTCCCTGAGACTCCTGAAATCAAAAGCAAAATATTGTTTGTACAGGCATTTTTCTAAAAAGAGGATCATCACTTTTTCATCAGGATTTCTAATGGATTCATAACCCCAAAATTGTTCAGGACAGCTGTCTTGGTGATTTATAGGAAAAAGAAAAAAAAAAGAAAGAACGAAAGGGAGCTGGCACTGAGAGGAAAAGAGAGTCATAGAACGTGAAAGCTGGAAAATACTTTAGAAATCATCTACTCCAGCCCCCTCGTTATTCAAAAGAGGAAAAACTGAGGCCCAGAGAAATACAGCATTTACCAGAGCACCCAGCAGACGGTGTCAGCCTCCAGCTGGCACCCCGACCACCAGCAGCGGCCTATTTTACTCATCTTACAGGGAAAAGCCATGGTTAAGTTACAGGATCTCAGCACATGAACAGCCCCATCTGAATTTCCTTGGTGATCACCTCCAAGACCCTAAGCAGCATTAAAAGCCCAAGATTCTATTATAATTATGATCCATAATGCTTTACTGAACACTAACAAATTAATCCCACCAAATGTCCAACCAGGAAAAATTAAGCCCAGTCACATGTTTATAACTTCCTCTTCCTTGATTTTGAGATAATAATTCCTTCTGTTGGCCAAGTCCTATCCGGAGCTAATCTGCATTCCTATAAATGTGTCCAGGGGTCAGGCTTCCCAGGCAGGGAGTGATAAGAGGCTGCCTGGGCGCACCCAATCTGGACTCCAGGATGTGCCCGAGCCTGTTTGCAGCAGGACTCACCTTCTCCCCACCTGTCAGGGGCCCTGGGCACTTGCTCTGGCCACACCATACTCTCATCATCAAAAAAGATCAAAGCCAGTTCTCTCTGTGTGTGCCAACCTTCCTCAAGTGACTGAATCCCTCCCAAATCTTCTCATGAAGGAACCTGCCATAATCCAAAAGGACAAGCTTAGAAACGTCATTTAATTACTGGCTCTTACCTTTGGTTCAAAAAAAGAAGTGTGGGTCATAGGTTGGGGGGACAATTTAAAGTTTTGGAAAATACAGTCTCCATTCATCAAGCACTTCACAGCTCTTGGTAAGTAACGTATCTCACTTTGGAAAGTCTGTCCTATGCCTTGGGGCTCCTGTTACACCCAAACGTTTTGCAAGCTATGACCCCTATACAGACTTTCTTGCCAGAAAGGACCGGGCAATGATGGGAGCAAATCGGAAATCTCAACCAGCACTGTTAACCAGAATTCAAAACCTGGTCTTCCCGCTTCACAAGCTAACCTCCCATAAACACCGCCGGCGATGGAGCAGTTTCCGCAGATGTGACCCTCCAGGCATTATCCCACCTGGTGGGATTTCGGCGGGATGACGGAGCAGGCTCTGCAACAAACGGGGATCGCTACTCCCCTTCGTTCACTGAGCCATTCTAGAGCTTTCCAGGCGAATCAGATTTTAAGAGAAATGAGATTTCCTTTCCAGCTTCAACCCGTCTCTTTGGGAGCACGCACACGGAATCCACGACTCGGGTGGCCGGGGGTGAGGAAAGGCAGAGAACGGGGGCGGCGGTCGAGCTGCGCCCGGAGTCGTCCCGGGGGCTCCATTCGCGCGGCCCGAGCCGCGGGGACCCACCCGCGCGGGAGCCCGCCCGGCCCG